AAAGTTTGATCAAAGGTTTTAGGAGTCGAGGAATCCGAATCTGAAATCGGTTTTTCGAAATTTTCAGTTCGATTTTACCACAAAAATTCTTTTTGTAAAAAAATATGTTTTTTTGATAGAAAAAATTATTTTTTTCTTACAAAAAATTTTTTTGTGAACCAGTTTGTTTCGTAAATTTTTTTTGCTAAAAAAATCACTTTTTCACAAAAAAATTTGTTTTTTAACAGAAAAATATTTTTTTACAAAAAATTTTTTTCTGTTAAAAAAACTACGTTTTTTTACAAAAAAATTTTTCTGTTAAAAAGAATATTTTTTTACAAAAAAATTTTTGTGGTAAAATCGAACTCAAAATTTCGACAGACTGATTTCAGATTCAGATTCCTCGACCCCTAAAACGTTTAATCAAACTTTATACAAAATCGTTCTTTTCGTAAAAGAGCTCTTTTTTTGTGAAAAAAATCTCTACTTTAACTACTTTATTAAAGTATCCATGATGCTTACTTTGATAATTTGAGAGGCTAATTGAAGTGTCTTGGGAATAGAAAAAGAAAAAAATGAGGTCGTATGCTTGAGATGCGCCCTTTTATATATTTTTTATTTTCTAGATATTTATTTCTTTATTTTTTAGATTTTTATTTTTTTTCTAAATTTTTATTTTTTGTTTTTATTTTTTTTTAAATTTTTTCAACTTTTCATTTCGTACAAATAGTTTTAATTTTTTTAAATTTTTCTATTTTTTTAACTTTTTTTATAAATTCTTTTATTAGCAATTTTTTGTAATTTTTGTAATTTTTTAATTTTTTGTATTTTAAAAATTTTTGTAATTCCTAATAAAAATATTAATAAAGTGATAACGTTGGCTATATCGTCTTTTTTAGCAACTGCGATTTTTTTATCGCAGTTACGCCGTAACTGCGACGCAGTTTGACCGCAGTCGAACACATGGGACAGGACTCGTCGTCGACTTTATCATTTCCATACAAAGCCATTTGTTTAATTTTAATTGTACAAACGGTATAAAGAAATAAAGAGTAGAAGTTCGAAAGAGAAATGATATGCTTTGCAAATTCAAGAACACTGTAAATTCGTCAATGAGAACGGGAATATATATATACCCAATAGAGAATGAGAAATTCTCCAAAAACAAAAGATCAAAGGAGAAGAGAGAAATTATGACGTCACTGTCCTTAGCAGCAAAAACAACGGATATTTCAAAAGAATTTATATGAGAGAAGGAAAGAAAGTAAAGAAAAGTATGAGATGACAAATGCAATTGTTTATGACCTTAATGGCCTTACATATTTAATAGTTTAATGTGAAACAAACACTTTTTTCTTTAGTGAAAAATAGATGGTTCAGAAATGAGCCACCGGTCCTCAAAGGGTTAAACTAACGCAAAAAAAGAAAACAATTGAAAAAAAATAAATATCTTGAATTTTTTTGAGCGTCTAATGTTAGAATAGATATATAAATACCACGCACTTATATCATATCCATGTCATCAACCCATGTCGACCATTCGAGCCGTCTGAAATGACATCGGAAACGACCTCAAACGGCTATAAAGCGACGTAATGAGGCATTAATGTTCGCTGTAATCCGTCAGCCCGTTTTACGGACCGTTTTTTTTTCGGTAGAAAACGGCTATCGTTTTTCACATCATTTTCACCGTTTTTCGAGCTGACAGAAATCAGCGCCGTTTTTCGATGTTTTATATCGTTTTTATGTTGCTTACGGCCGTTTTCTTGGACCTGGGAATGAATAATATTAATATATAATTAATAAAAAAATGTTTAGCAATATAAATGTGTCTAATTGATTTTTTTATCATATGAAAAGTTGATAAACGATTGAAATTATCTATTAAATGTAATATATTTGAAAAAAATTTTATTTTCTCGAAGATTTTCCCATAATTTTAATTTATTTCAATGTTTTTTTCGATGACTTTGTATGTTTATGATTGATTTCAAATTATTTTGAATAATATTATCATTCATATATATAATGATATTTATGGTTTCAGAGTTATGACCCGATATTTTTGAGAATTTTAAATTGAGTTAGGACGAACCACAGTGCGCCACACATGAACGCAACATTATTTCAATGCACTATGTAAAAGAACAAATGTTCCTCCATAAAATATTATATTTATGATTATTTTGTTGTAAGTGACCAATTAACAATGAGTATTTTAGTAAAATACATTGTCAATTTTCTCAATCTCCATACAAAACAGATTTACAAACTGAGCTAGGCCATTCTTAAAGAATTGTTCTGAAACTTCTAATTCTTACATCAATTTATAGAAAATAATCTGAATTTTGATTCTATGCTAAAAAAAATCAATAATATAACATGTGTAGTAAACGAGGGTTTTGCTGTAAAAAACGTCAATAATCTTCATCCTAACTTAATTTTCATGCCTCCAAAAGATCGACTCATAAGTTCTAAAACAGAAGTCCTGGAGAAATATTGAATATACATTAGGAAACAATATAAAATTAAAGTTTTCAAATTTTTGCAGGCTCCTTTAGAGAGCTGAGAAATGAGCGAAGATTTTGTTAAATCATCTTTTGATAACCTGCTATACTACAAAACATTACTTTTCATTAAGTACAAGTCTATATTATTATTTATTTTGTTTTTGAGAACAACTAAAAGTAATATTCACAGATACATATCTAAAAGCTATTAAAATGCTTGCAGTTCTATTTCTATTCAAATGTCTATACATTAAAAAGTAATAGAACACAATTACTACACGTTAGCTAATACTGATTTTTCTAACTCGGTTCATAGTGTTTATTTGTATTCGAAAAATTTTTTCTTACTTTATTAAAAAGAAAACCTTTCGATATCTTTCATTGAAAAGAATGTATTTCTTTTTTTTAATTTGACTGATATTTTGAACGAAGTAGCTTTATATCTTCCAGATCAGTAGGAGAAATCTTTATTTCCAGAGTTTCTTTTCTAACCAACAAACCATTTATTCGAACTAGTACAAAAATGAATGATTTTGAAATTGATTTTCAAAAAAAAAGCGCATATTTTAAAAATGATTTCATGATGAGGTATGAAAAATTTTCTTTTGAAACTATTATCAAGTAAATACAATGTATTACGAACTTCTAAAACAGCAATTAATAATCACAATGAGAAACAAGTATGTCAACTATTATCCTATTAATTAACATATATAGACAGATTTTAGAAAGAGAAAGAAAACCTGTCTTTTATTCCTGATCTTATTCAAGATATCAAATCATCTCCGACGTCTAATGAACAAACATTCGATTTTTTCATAACAAAAACTCTACAAATTCATAAACAAAATTTTCCATTAAAAACATCAACTTTTCAAGGGATTGAACACTTATCTAGCAAACAAAATGAGAATTATTATAAAAATGTATGCTGCCGTCGGAAAACGAAGATACTTAGTCAGAATAATTTTATACATAGTCAACAATCATTGCAATCAATTAAACCAAAGAACTATAATTTGAACACAGATAACAAAACATATGATATGAATCATCATTCAAGCGTTCATGTACACAAACAATTCTCAGAAAATCATTGTCATTACAATAATGATCACAGTTAATTTTAGTATTAATGAAATATGTTTTCTTTACATGAGATTTCCATGAAAGACTAGATCAGTTTCTATGTTGTGAAAAATATAAATCACATCAAAAGTTAGGAATATCATTTCGTGCCTTTAGAGCTAGGTGGAAACGCCATAAGCGAGTATTATCTACATTTGGAGAATACAGGAATATAGTGAAAGTACACGGGGTACAATGAAAGTATAGTTTTATAACTAAGAAAAATCCAACCCTAAATCCAAAAGAATAACAGCATATTCTCGCACTTCTACGATGCTTTGACTATTGTCTACATGCCTTTTGCATTAAAGACAATGAATAATCTCATAACCTAAATGCATTTAATCTTAAATTACTCAATAAAATTATTTTTTATTTAATATAGATCAAATACAAAAATCGCCTCAATATAGTTCACTTTGTCAGACAAAAACAATTGCTATTAATAACAGTTCAGAAGATCCAACTTCATCAAAGAAAGACAAAGAAGAATTTTCTGTATCATTATCTGAAACGAAAGTTGACACAAAACCACTATCTAATGAAATGGTAAGAATGACAAAGATAAATTAATAAAAACGAATGTGTTGATTTTTGTTCCAAGAATCTTCGTGAACTTGTCAATACTGTTCGAACAGAAATAGGTGCATCAATTGATGCAGATGAAAGTCAATCATTCAATCATAAGTTTCCTAATACTTCAAACAATCAAAATATCAGTATGTCAGCAAGAAAAACGAAACAAAAGAGTCAGCAATAACAAAAAATTGTTTTTCTTTTGTATATAAATTCTCATAGAAAATTCGAAAACATTAATGAAAACTAAAGTGAACAAAAAGAAATCAAGGTAAAGAAAAACAAAAGACACCGTTGGTTATTCGATAGCAATAACATACGTTTTCTTCTAGCAAAAGTAATTCATTTCTAATGAAAGACATTTAATAAATGTTTTAATAGGCAATAAAGACAATCAAATTACATCAAGGTAAATTTATTATTTAGATATCATGAAAAATAATTTATCGGTAAAATTAGCAAAAATATGAAATCAAAAACATCATCTAAGCATCGTAATTAACAGTAATGAATTTTCAGAAAATGTTACTCTTAGTTTCTTTAGAAAAACAAAAGATCAACAAGGTACATGAGTATATAAAAATTAAATTAAGAACTTTTGATATATTATTTAATTGTAAAGATAAAGAGTGAATTAAAATTAAATGATGTTTTCAAATCATCAAAAAAACAATCAAATGAAGACATTCCAACTGAACAATGTAAAAATTGTTGTTGTAATTTTCTTCATTGTTAGTTTTTATTAATTTTCTATTCTAACAATTAAAAAAATTTATGTTTTTTTTCCGAGATTCTCTTCGACAAATAATGCGTGACGCTGAACAAATGAAACAGGTACAAAAAGAAAATAAATGAATATTATTTTTCATATAAATTTATAGTTTGCATTAAATACGGCCATGATTGGTATTGATCCATTAAAATTAAGAGATGTTAACAATACATTATCTCCAGCAATTTGTATTCCAATGTATAATTGTGAAAGTATCCCTGATCAACGATTTCCTATGGGACCTACTTTTACAACTATCTCGAAAAATGAAATAGATAATGATGAAGAAAATAATAGAAAAAATTCAATGATTATACAAAGTATAAATACTCAACGTGGTAAAATTCGAATAAAACTTGATCCTCAATCATTTGGATTAGCTCCATTCTTTTCGGATCAGTATGAAACATTTATTAAAGGTCCACCAAATTCAATATTTTTTACTAATTATATTAACACATTTAATAGATAAACTATTTGAGTAATGTCTAAATAACAATAACATGTTATTATTTACCAGTTATTGGCTGAATAAAAAAAATACAGTATTCAAAAAATAGAGCCCAACGAATTCAAAATGTTTGCATCCAAATCCTGATTCAGGATCAATATGACAGGTTCTAACAAAGAATGAAGCATAAGTAGGCACTACGATAAAACATTCAAATATCTTCGCTTCAAAACTAAGCCCAGAGAATTTTTGGTTACTGATAAAAGCTTATTTCAAGTGTTTTTTTTCATACTGTTAACATAAACAACTACAATCGAAACAATGCATAGGTAATTTTCAGGTATTGCATAAAACAATAAAAAGGAGAAATCATAATAGACTTTACTAATGATATGATATGATATTGGTGTAAGTAAAGAAAATTTTTAGAAGCAGTCAATTGAATAGTTAACGATCCCGATAGTTCACATTATCAAGAATGAAATATTGAGTGTGGAAAAAGTTTTGCGACATTCTTTGTTTTTGCATATAACTCTGTTCAGAAACATGATCAAACGTTGATCTTTTTTCTTCGAAACATACCGAATACGTGAGTTATAGAAAAAAAGTTTGAATAGCCCCCTGCCACAAACTAAAAAAATTCAGTCTATTTGATTGAATCAAGGCGGAAATATTTCAGATTTTTTTTATCATATTGCGTATTGATGACCTACTGCGTATACATCACGTTCAGTATAATGTGATCATTACGTGACAAAATATATTTAATCTTTGATGTCCTTGAATATCTCATATTTCAAAATGATTTTAGTATTTAATTCTTGTGCTCAAAAAATAATTTGTTCTCTGAAAGAATAAAGACTAAACCGCATATTGACATGAATTATATGTACTTTACATTATTCGACAAAGAAAAAACCTCAAAATAAAATCAATAAATAACCTATATGAAAAAAATTGTAGATGTAAATTCAAATTTAGGAGTGTTTATTTCTTTAAGACAAGGCGAACAAAAAGAAACTTAGAAGAAATAGTTCTTAAAGTCAAATGAAGAGACGTAATAGATAATCAATCAATTTATATTCTAAAAGAAACGATATTTCTATGAAAATGTTGAATTATTTCCATCTTTGTAAAATATATTGAAATTAACATCATCAATTGCACAACATGAAAAGAAATCTTCTGATGAATCTGTAATATAAGCTCCAATCATAATTTGAACAGTACGTATTCCAATTGGAATTAATGAATTATTTGAAAGTGATCTCCATGATTTTCCATAGTGAATAACTAAAAAATTGAAGTTAAAATAAGAAAAAATATTTAGAAAGGTCATTACCATGTATTTGATTATTCTCAAAACTTTTTTGTTCATTAACAAAACGAATTTCGACTGTAGCCCAGTTGCTTGAATTATTACTAGAACAACCTAAAAAAGCTGATACATTATACCGAGCTTGATTATTATCAATAAGTGTTGAATATTGATTTAAATCAATATCTTGAATAAATCGACTAGTTGAATTCGCTTGAAAATAACAATTATTTTCAGAAATTGTTGTCATTTCAATGCATGAATTATTTTGTCTATGAGTTATTGTCAAAGATGTATATCCTGATTCTTTTCGCCAACGATCACTTCGTAAAGTATTACACTACAAAGAAATCGAGAAAACAAAATCAATTAATAAAAAGAAAGCGAAAAAAAAAATTTAATCACTTGTTGTTCAGCTCCACCATCATTTATTAATCCTTTTGAATCAATATTAAAAAAAGATCCATTTGGTAAGCGTGTATTAAAAATAATACATTTATTATTAAATCCATCAATATTTATATTACTATCGGTTAAATCTGTATTTGTAAAATCAATACTAGACAAATCATTATCACTTGTAAACAATGATTGTTTTAATGAAGCACCTTTTGAAATAAATATATTTCATATCAATCAGACAAATCATATATGAATAATTACCTGAAAATGTTGATTTTTCTAATGAACAACTAATAAAACGACTTTTATCCATAATACTTCCTTGAAAATTTGATGCTTTTAATTCACAATTAGAAAAAAGACTGTTTAACGCAAATACACCAGGTAAATATAAATAATTAAGATTGATGTATTTAAATTGAACATTAGTTAAATTAGCATTACGTAGAGTGAGTCGCTGTTCAAATGGAATATCAGTACTAATTAATCGATGGATATAGAGAAATAAAATGAGATCACGTTTATATATTGAACTTAGCTGATGAAGAGCATTCAATACTTCTATATAAATTGGTCGAAGATGATCAGGATTACTTTGATTAAAATCGAAACGACGAAGATTTTTCCAAAGAATATTAATGGAATCATCAAAAATTTTCTTTTCATATTCATTTATTTCTTCTTCTTCAATAAGAATAGTTTTTGAAGTAAGATTTTGTCGAGTAATATATAAAATCAAAAGAATACCAAAGATAATAATAGTAATAATAGCTAAAATAAGGATTATTCGAAAATTTTTACGTGACTCATTTCTTGACATTAATCTTAGATCAGATTCATTCATGCTATTTAATACATGTAGTTGGCTTTGGTGATGATATTATGGATTTATGTGTATATTGTGGAATTTGTTGTTTTTTTTTGAATATGTTCTATTTAAAAAAACTATTGAAGTCTGTTAGTAAAATTTTTTAACAAATCGATCTTTAAATATTATAGAAAAATATTTATGATAGTCAAACGTGTCAATTTTCTTTATTTTATGTTTTCTTTCTCTGCTTCTCTATCTTTCTGATAGATTAAAAATATTTCATACTTGTAATAAAATATTAATATCTAATGATACAAAATTATTTCTTTTTTTATTTGTTACACGTTAATTATCAGTCTTTTTAAAACAAATTTGTATTCATTTTTTGTTAACAATTAATGATAAACAATTCAAACATTATTGTAAATAATTTATGTTGAAATACAATGAAACTTCAATTAGTGAATACCTTACTAGTTTGTTCTGGACTCATAAGTATTCAAATAAAATAGGATGGCAAATCCAGAGCATGACCTCTGGTTCGTTCAAAATCATATAACTTGTTTTACGGTTTCTTCGGGAAATTTTGATAAAAATAAACCGAGTTTTCAAGAGAAGCACATAATAAGGCGAAGTCAGAATAAAATCATACTGTAGTTATCACGTTTTTCTTTCTATGTGCGTAAATTAACATATCCGAGTTCACGTGTCGAAATCTGTACGTCATTCTCGACAAGTCCTTTCCTATATGGCAGAATGAGTACGTTCAATCTCTACGTATTTGTGTACGTCCTGCTCAAAACAATCATTCACAAGAACCGATTTTCGGTCTATCTTGTACCGTCAGACTCGTTAGTGCCCTTGAGTTTCCGGCGTAAATGACTTTTCATGTCCGCGTTATATCGTGATGCACTCAACGCTTCTCGAATAGCGGCTATCTTTACTCTTTTTTTTGTACAATGAAGTCTATCCTTAGTTTTTATTTTGGCATTACCGGAAATGACATAAAGATTCAGACTTATAAAGAAGGATGCACAGATTCAGACTTATAGAGAAAATGTTCTTAGAACATGTAAAAAGGATGTAAATCAAGTGGACCAGAAAAATTGGAACATTTGCTTTGTATAGTTTTCGACCGAAACATTCAACCAAGTAAACTCTTCGAAACTACTAAAGAAGCTTACATTCTGAAATTTTTTGTTCATATCGTAGTGAAATGTATCAGAGCTGCTGTCTGCAGGCCATCCAACCGTGTATTAGACCAAGCCAAATTTTAAATTTCTAGCCTATCTTGTCCCTTCCATATAATATTCGATTTATAAAATAGACCAGGCCGGATCATAGTTGTTCAACTGGCTCTTATACACTCGAAATGTAATGTTGATGTATGTCCTTGTTAATCGAGAGTAATTCGACAAGTTCATTTTGATCTGAGTAGTAAATGCTAGACCAGAACATGAATTTAATGTTGTAGGATTTACATTGACTAACAGAGAAACCCGTTCAGGCCAATAACAATTGGTTTGTCAGTTTTACTTTCGTGCTGCTGTAAAAATTGATCGTCAAGTTTAAATGTTTTTATCTATGACTATAAGTATCATTTACTCCCTACATTTTATTTTACTTTTTCGTTGCAGCCCTGACCTAATTATATAGTTTTTTTGCTATGATAATTATGTTTTTTGAATTATGTGAATTATACTTCGAAGTTAATGGGTCTCAATGGAAAGGATTAAATAATGAAAATATCGTTTTTTTCTGTAGGGCATAAAAACGACTTTTTTGACACTTCTAATTTTCCGCGATTTAAATACGTTAATATTCATTTTCATATTAATAGATAGAGATTCCCATATATATAATTTGTTACAAATAGGGCGCCCCAGTCCGCTGTAATCTTGAGGCATAGAGAAATCTCCATTATCCGAAACGGTCTCAGCATGAATTTCTTCTCCATTGATTGCTACGATGGTGAAATTTTTAAGAAAAACTTGGATAGAGCATGGCACCCGCTGGAGAAAAATCCAAGGTAAACTATTAAAATTAACTGAAGATATCGGTCACTTTTCGACAATTTCCGTCGTCTCTCGTGTTCGAATTATCCAAAGAATATTGCACAAATCAGGCAAACTAAAAACGTCTGATATGAAAATTTTTATTAGTAATTAATGCAGCATTGAGTTTTCAAATGAGGAGATGTCATCTTATGAGATTTGCTTGCCATGTTTATAAATCCTTGTGTAGAGACAAAACTTATGTTGACATTCTAATTTTTCTGTATGGAAGTCTATCAATTTCTAATATGTCCTTAAGATCAGATTTCGACATGTTCTGTGAGTGGTCAAACTATGTGACTAGAGGATAAAAATTTAGTTACTCTTTACTTGATAATGGAACTCTTTGCGACTACTATATTTCGTATACGAACTTTTAATTGTCTTCTCTGTATGAAAATAAATTAAGTGAAGAACTGAAACTAGAATGATATATTAAAATATAGAGTTTTGGAATGAAACGTATTCGAAAAATTAGACACATCAATAGGCTTCATTTGATCTGCAGACCAAACCAGAAAAAAATAGTCTGTCGACAGCTCTGAAATACATAACATCTTTCGAAAATGAATGCTACTCAATAGTGAGCACTTATCAAAATTCCCAATGGTGTTCTTTTGAGCGAGACAGAGATAGGTCTTATTGTGTAAAAGAAAGATGTCCTAGATTTGAGTATATCAAAATAAATTCTCACAATTAATTTTATTTCTTAATCAATTCATTTATTTAATCATACATAAAAGAAAGAAATCTCAATTGAAAAAAGACTTGTTCTTTTTTTAAGTTGAGAAGAATTTCATATAGTAAAAAGACACTAATCCCTTATGAAAATTCAACTATTTTAATGTAAATGAAATATAAAGCAAATGTTTATTTGAATAAATAAAGTAAGTAACAATTCGTATGTGTATATTTCTTTAAAATTAAAAATTTATATTGGATGATAATGCTTTATGACGAGACACTTTTCCAAACCAAGACATTTTATAATCGAGTGTTTCACGAAGAAGACGTTCTTCATCGGCTGAAAAACTGAGCAATGTTGACACGGCACGAATAAGATGAATAGCCTTTAATTAAATTAATAAAAAAATAAATAAAATTCATTTTTTTCTGAAAATTTTTTATTTTTGTCTTTAATCTTACTTCATCTTCGGTTGAAGTCATAAACTTAAGCAAAACATGTTTAAGATATTTAAAATTTGTACTATTTAATGTAGTTTGCCCATCAATAGATGAACGATGTCCATTCATTTGTGATTTTGTTGAAGTTGATTCAACGGATGTATGTGGTAGAATTGCTGGACTTGTTGGTGCAGCTGATGTTGTTGTTGATGTAAATGTAACATTTTTACGCACTGCAGTCATTTGTCGTGCTGTGGATGCTCGTTTAGCTACATCAACATCACTTTGTGATGTTGCTGATGCATCATAATGTATTAATGGAAGATTTGCTGGTGATGATGAAGTAGCATTATTTGGTTTTGATGATCCAATTTGATTAAGATCTTTAGGTATTGATGCATGAAATTCACGTTGAAGTGTTTTACGAAGATCATTATAACGTTGTTGTAAATTTTTTATTGTCTAAATTATTAAGTCATATATACAAGTCGTTTGATGAATGTTTTCAAAAAAAATTACCAATAAAAAGAAATCAGTTCAAACTGTAACAAAACTATACTTATTGAAAAATTCATTAATTGGCATTTATGTTGTATTCATCTAACAAATGAATTATTGAACACCGCGAAATCTTACCAATGACTAAACTTTAAGTGTAAATATTCAAAAATGAATATGATAAAATCTTAACAAATGATTTATTGGAGACTTCAAAATAGCAGCATTCTCTATTTTTTAGTTATTTTCCTAAATTTTGAAATTTATGATGACCTGCTAAATATGACAACAGGTCTAAAGCCATTCAAATATACCTTCGATAGATCGTCACATGTAAATACATGACTAACTATAAATATGTATTTCATGAAAGTCATATTAATGATCTAATACTCAACTTGTCTTTCCCATAAGCGACTTACTAACTTCTAAGCACATACAAGAAATACAAAACAAGATATAAATCAAATCATCGCAAGTTCAATGATGATTAATACCGTGTTTAGGTAATATGGAAGATATTAGTAAATTTCTACCATATATATCATGAAATAAGGCAAAGATTCCGAAAAAAACTGCGTAACATGTTCATTTATAACAATCGAAGAAATGAAAATACATTTGGAATATCTACAGTTACTAGCAAAATTGTTCAATAAAGTTTATTTTCAAATTTTTTCTGCAACCTTAATCACTAAACAGAATATAAATAATGATTTTATTAGAGAAAATAGTTGCCCAACAAGAAATAAAAATAATTTCTAAAGATGGAGTGATAAGAAACTTAAAGTTCTATTTGTCCTACATCTAGAGCACGCATATATAAGTCGGTTAGAATTTCACAAAAGGATAGAGCAAACAATTTTTTACAAACTGTGACACATTCTAGATCTGTACGATAATTTTTAGCTGAAATACAGGAGCCCGATTGAAGACTCAAAAAAAAGGCTTTAATATGCAATAGTAAAAAGATCCGCTTCAAGTACTTTCAGATAGTTGCTGTATCGCAATCAAAATCGATCTTACAAAATCCGAAGATGTCTCATTTTCTAGAAATTGTCTAGTTTATCGTTCCATATAGATAAAACAATATTGTATTTCTGTACTATAGATACTGAAATCCTTCTAGCAGCGAAGATAGCAGAAAGAACTGAAAAATGAACCTTGATAAACAATTTTGAAGGTTACAATAATTTTCAGTTCGGGTTTAAATTGACCTCATTAATACCTATAAAAAGCCTTATGTTTGGAGTTTGCTGTTACATCCTGTAATACTGAGAAGGATGCTATAACTATAATATCATATAAACTCATACTGCTCTCCACTACGGAATGTAGCAACTAATTAAAGAAATATAGGTTTTAATAAGGGTTAACGAGATCAATATAAGCCCGACTCCAAATTTTGACCTCCGAATTTTAGTAACTTATATAATTCTCAGTTGGTACCATTTTCTTATTAAGATTAGAATACATGATACAAAAAAAATGGTCGCAAGATTCCTGCGAAACTAAAATGCGAATACAGTGTAGCTGCTGTTGTTAATCATAGTGAGATTGTTTTATTCAATCTCACTATGAGGCACATTTCTTCACCCTCCTTTTAGTTAATTCTTCAGTAATGCAATAAGGAAGTGGTTCATATATTCTAGCAAGATACTTCTGATATATAGGCTTTGATGATATATCGATAGTGTCTGTCGCGAACTGTGGAACGTGCAAATTTCTACCTTATTTACTTCAACATTTCTTTTAGATCGTGCTCCACAAAATAGATTAATTACTATCGATCGAGTTCTTTTATTCTCTTGTACTTCATCTAATGTCATTGAATGGTTGTTATCTTACTCGATTTTTATCATCTAATTCGGCTTGCAATTTACTAATTGTGTCCACATCTGGTTCAGCAAGTACTTGAACAAATGATTGATCTTCATCCTTTTAAAGAAATGATCAAAGAATATGTAATAAATTATATAAGAAAATAAAAAAAAAGAAACGAACTGTTTGTATTGCTCGTGTTTCATGATCAATTAATAAACGTTTATCCTGTTGCTCAATAATAGAATCTCGTTCAATGAGAGCTTGTTTTAAATTTTGTATTTCAATTTCATGTCGTTCATTTTCGGTTTTTTGTCTGTCAAATTGTTTTTGAAGATCATCATTAGGCTTTAAATTAGATACATCAGTTGATTTTATAAGTAAATCATCTCTTTCTAAAAGATGAACGAAAATTTCATGATCAAAGAAAATCTTAAAAAGTTTATTGATTAACAAACCTGATTCAACATCACTTAATTGTATTCGTAAAGATTTTATAGTTAATTTGAGATTTTCATTGTCCGAACGAAGAGTATCAATTTGTTTTTGTAAATAAGGCACCTTAAAATGAAAAAAAAAACAAATAAATGAATTCTATGATGATAATAAGTAAAGGAATTACTTTAGCACTGTTGTCGCTTGTATTTTTCTCTTTTAAATTTCTAAAGAAAAAAACCTTTAATTATTGAATAGCATTTTAATCAAAAAAAAACATACTGTAAATCTGTAACTTGACTTCTAAGTATTGTCATTTCGTTTTGTAAATGAAGTGTTTCTTGCATTAATCGTTGAATAGTATCATCTTTTTGTCTAAGAATTTCTTCTTTTGAATCGATCTATAACAAAACAAATGTGTTTTATTTTTTTTTTTAACATTTAAAAATTCAATTTACCCATGATTTAAGAATTCGCATATAATTATTGATGGAAACTGGTTCTTATAAATAAAAAAAATTAATTTTAAAAAAAGAAATCCCTGTGTTATACCTTCACTATATGGAGAAAACATATCGGATAATGATTTGACCAATTCATCTTTGTTCTCTGCCTAAAAATACACCAAGAAAATCAATGCAAAAAACAAAACTATTTAATAAAATCTCGAACTTCATGGGAAGTTGAAGAAGATCTCGGTTCGTTTCTTAACGATTGTTGTATATTGGAATCTGATCGTCCTTTACAATAAGATCAAAAAGTAAATCTTTGAAGAAAAAAAATTATCCTGTTACTTACTATGAGTATGTATGGATGAAGAATTTTCATGTTCCAAACTGTTCTTATTATCTTTGCTTGAATTTTCGGTTATTTCATCGGAATTATTTTCCGGTAAAATACTCGGATTGTTACTGTTTTCACGTACTTTCTTGATTAAAGGTTTAAACATTATGACAGAATTCTTTATACGAAATAATTTTTCATACTGTACACGAAACAGCAATAGAATCGTCTTATTGCTCACTACGAAAACAAATAAAATAAAGAATGAGACAACTGCATGATAAAAAAGAAGCTAAGTATTTCTTTAGTTACATTTCATCATCCAGTCAAAAAAAGTAATCAATCCTTCATCGAATTCTCACTTGAAAAGATGTCACTAAATGATGATATTTCATATATTGATTTTAACATTACGGAGCCCTCTTCTCCCCTTTTCGGATGTTAAAATCAAAATGTTTTTTAATTCTTAGTTTCTCATCGCTAATTTACTTTTGAAGTGTCATCTGAGAAATTCTATGTAAATGAAGGTTCTTTGTTGTTCGTTAAAGCTCCTATTAAGCTTAATTCTTGAAATACTTAGCAGAAAAATTTGTGCTGCAATTTTTTCCTAAGGATTAATAGTTATTTCTCATTCCAAAGATGTTGAGAGTATGGATCATGGATCTCTAACATCGCCAGTTTTCGATCACTTTAATTGGAGAAAAAAGTTCTAATTTAAAAAAAAACAGCTTTAGTATAAGGAACATATGTTGTTTGAGATACGTCAGGTATTTTGATGTTTTTATTCAAATGGAAGAAGATAACAAGAAACCAAACAAAAAGTAGATACTCCTAAGAGTGTCTATAATATTTAGTGGGAAAATTACAACCTATTAGACATAATACGGCTGAGAAAGCGGGACGGTTTTTAGTCTTTGAGATTCAGATATTTCTAAGAAAGAAGTATTGGGAAATTCGGTGTTCATGATAATTTTTTCTCTACTTATCAAGATCCATCTACTCTGAAAGTGTGAAATACTTCTGATGAGTCATTCCTCAGAAATCCCTGAAAGAGAGGGTCTTCTTAAAGACATTATTCGTCGTGTTATTATGAAAAAAAACGTGATATATGATCGGGGATTTAGAGGGAGGCGATAGTTCCTTCCTTTCAGACTATTTTTTGATTTATCTCAGCAGAACACATTCATAGATGAGTCCTTTAATTAGGCTACAAAATAAATTTTGTGACTATGATTGCCTCACTTGCTGTTGAAGTACATCTATTTATCAAAATTTTAGATTCATCACTGGCGAGATAGTCATGTCTATTTATCTTGTTAATTAAAATATTATTCAGTAGAGTTTACTTCGAAATAATTGGGAAGAAAACAAAAACAAATTATTTGGTAAAGTGAGATTCTTTTTTTAGTAGACTGTTGCTAAGGCAGACATCAACAATAAGAACATTTTATCGATTTGCATTCGTTGTTTTTTTTTTATTTAAACTATTCAATAAGAATGATGTCGATAGATATTTGCTACGTACTGATTATATTTTTTATGGATTAATGAAAGTATTTATGTAGCTTTTCTTTTTTCTATTCCTTCCCTTTGCTTTGCTTTTTTCATTGAAATAACAAAATTAACATTTGAAGATCGTAAATTTTTTTTTTGTCAAAAAGAGAAAGAAGAAGAAACAAATATATTACTATTTTCGAATCTGATAAAGTTAAAATGTCGTTCAAGTCAAACATGTCAAAATCAACAATTACTTTTAATAAATATGGATTGTATTTACAATGGCCGCATGTTTGGATAATTATACTTGGACTGATACTAATCTTTCTTTGTTTAAGTATAGCTGGTATGGAAGTGGGTCATACAATTTTTGATTTACGTCGATCAACAGCCTTTGGAGGTTTTATTGTTTTTATTCCTTTAATGATCTGTGCCATTTTCGTTTTGATTACTGGTAAGGTTAAATATTTAACTTAACAAATAAATTTGATCGAAAAGTAATCAAAAATAAATAATAAAAAAAATTTTGTATTTTTGTCAATAATCAACGAGGAAACCTTATTAGAATGATAACTACTGAAACCTTAGTCCAATAAAATCAAAATTGCCACCGAGAAGAAAAAAAGTCTAAAAGTCCTATTCTATATGTTTACTAACAGGTAGTGCAAATATTTGTCATTAATTTTGTGTCTTTTCCATCTTAACGAAAAAGTATTGAGGAATAGAAATATGTTGTTTTTTGGAAGGTAGCCCACGATATCTTATATAAGCGTTGTATTTTTGAAAGTGCTTCAATTCAACATATTAGAGCTGTCTAACGTCTCAAAAATCTCTTACAGATAGACTGTTGAAATGTTTTAAGAGCAATGTTCTAATACGGTAATGTAGGAAATGCTCACGGCTTTCTAATCTATATAATTATAACTGAAAGTTTTCAAATCTGCTATTCTTTCAATAATTTTGACAGTAAAACCAATTAAAAAATTTTGTTTTTCCCAAAAAAACATGGAACAAACTTAAATGATTATACACTATATGATGAGTTTGCAATCAAGTTTCTTTTTCATATGAAATTTATTGATAATTAAAGAATTCCATAATTTTCAAATATTTGTAAAATTAAAGAAGGGCGCTTTCTGTGCAACACTCTAGTAAAAAATTGAATGTTTATGCTCGCATATGTCTCGAAAATACAAAAGATTGTTTTCTGTTACAAAAGTCAAGAAAAAATATATTTCGAAGAATAATTGAAATGAATTAATAATTTAAAAAGAAATTTTTCGTCTTTTCAGCATACAAGCCACGTTTGATTATTCTTCGTATTACTGTAATATTATGTTGTATCATGATTATATTATGTATGGCCTTAATAGCTTATGATATTCTTGTTCTTATTGATCCTAGTCGATGTTACTTTTTAAATTGTAATGATGCTTCAGTTGATATATCTAATTCAACACATAATATAATCATAACTGGTTGGCCACTCTATATAACATGGCCAAATTATTTTCAAACAAATATGAATGCAAAACGTATATTTCAAAGTATTCAAATATTTTGTGCTGGCTTATTTATCTTATTTGTATCTTTATATATATTAACATATATTATTTATAGACATATTAGATTATATCAACAAATTATTTCTAATGCTGATCTTCGTATACTTTCAACAAATCAAACAAATAGAATGTCACGAAGAACATATTCCAATAATGTATCTCAATCATATCCACAATATAATCCTCATCATAAAGTAACAACATATATGGTTGAAAGTCAACCATACACATCATCACAATATCATTATTCATCAGCAGCAGTACCGTCCGTTACAACAACAAAAACATTTCTAGGACCAAGAGCTAGTTCAGCTAACTATGATCGATTATGTACACGTTGTAATCAAGAACCACGAATGATATTAACTACATATTATGAACGTAAAAATCTCTTTCCATATTTATGCATTAAGTGTAATAATGAACTTGTAAGTCATCGACGAATACCATCATCCAGCCAGTCAAAACATAATCCCATATGGAGACCTTAATTATTTTACATATATCCTATTTGTATGTAAGACTCTTCGATTCACAAAACGTGCTATTTTTTAAATGAATAATTTGTCTATATGACATTTTCTTTCGATTGATTTGAATAAACTCAATTTAAAGTTGGCTGAATCAATACAAAAACCTTAAAAAAATCAACATTTTTGAAAGTTATAAAGAACCCAAAAAATTCTCGAGATCAATGCATATATGTTTGATTTAATTAGTATTTTTACACATAGGAAAGTATATTATTATCGAAATAAAAATGAACGACATTATTTATCTTTTCAGTTTTATGTTGATGAGATTGTCAAACTATACGCTTTGTTGTGTAGGTTTCTAATCAGGGGCGGCGGAACGTTTCCAAATCAGGTGAGGCTCAGTAAAAAACTTTTTTTTATTATCCTAAGTAACTTTTTTCTTCTATCAAAGTCTTTGTTGACGAAAGGGTGTGGATGTGGGTGGGTGTTGGCTTTGGTTTATTTTCTTTTCTTCTTCGACATCCACACCAACACTCCAAAGGGAAAACAGCAGATTTCAACTCTTTGGAGTCCCTTGTAACCTCATGGAACCCTTGAAGTCCCATGGAATGCCGAAATATTTTCGATTTCCCTTCAAAAGCCCTTTATAAAAATTAGAAACAGTTATTTCTTAATTTTTTTTTGTCGATCATTATATCAGATAGGATAGAAATAATTGAGGAGACGGGTCGCATAGCTATCTGGAGGGTGTGGGTCACGTTGGACAGAAAAAAGGGATCGAAAGCAATTGCCAGGTGCCAAATCGCTATTGGGTCGAGACTATGTGCATTATGTAGGCTCTAATGAGCCATGAATACTCTAAAAAAGACTTGTGTTTCTTGCTTATTTCTATCAAGATATTTGATTTTTACAGCAATTTTCAGCAGAACACCGTGGTCTCCGTCAGATTTACTTGGAAAACCAACTTTCAAATTTCGATTTGAAAGTTTGTGCAGAGAAGGGTCTCAACTAGACTAGTTTGTTCTGACGGTTTCAGATTTTTGGGTTCCTTCTCTCTTGAGACACGAGTGTAAGAAAAAGTACTTTTTTTTCATATTACTTAAAGCACAAAATGTTAAGTGTTCATATTTAAAGATAGGAGCAACCAAGAAATTTCAGAATTTCAGAATAAACCAGTCTTATTGAGACCTTTCTCTGCTCAAAGCTTCAAGTCGAAATTCGAAAGTCGATTTTTCAGTGAGCTTGAGGGCGACCATGATGGTGTGCTAAAAAATGTCATAAAAATAAAAAATCTCGACAAGGGTTTAATGGCGCATCTTTGAGGATCTATTGAAGCTAGATGATGATACGTTCTATCAAAAGATAGATTAAAACTTCCATTTGAACTCCGACAAAATCCAGCAAATGAACTGCATTATAGATCAGTGACTATTTTTCACCATACGGATTGGAAGTTTTTGATCTTATTATAGCCTAAAGAGCTTCAAGAAGTCCGGACGGTCTGTAATATATAGTAAATACATAAAACTATACAAGTATTTGATGACTACAAAATATAAGTAGATCATCAATTAAAAATATAAATTTTACTTATATGGTCTAATTAATGATATTCACCTATTTTACGTACTTTGTGGTACCTGATATTTAATGCATACTCGCTATAGAGCGACATCCAAGATTCTCTTAAATCAGGACCATGGTAGCTTCAATGCTAGCTACGAGATGGGTTCGAATCTCGAAAATTGATTTTGTCACCTGGCTGTCCACTGTGTGGGTGTGGATCGTTGATTTTGCTTTCACACCCACACACCCACACCATTATTAACTGATTTACTTATTGTTGTTTCACAGGTTTCAGCTATTGAATAATTATAGGTTTTGTTTTCATTTTTGTTTCCATTAACATTTATCTTTTTCAATTTGATTATCAACCTAAAATACAAGTTATTGACAGTAGTCTGGTAATCCTTTTTTTAAGATCGAAATGACTAAGTACTATGCACACCGCTTGTGTGAATGCTTACATCACATTTTATAGTAGTACCGTGGTCGTTCATTGTGCATCATAGAGCATTGAACAGGAAACATTCGTATGATAAAAGAGAGTGAAGGATTCTCAAATAATTCTACCGTTTTTTAGATCTTGAAAATATCTTGGAGTTCCTCGGAATTATATGGAACCCAGGAATCCCGAAATCTGTTATTTTCCCTGTGTCCACACCCACACTCTGTTAGGACTGTGCTTTCACTCAATATAGAGAAATGAGTGATACATCACGAAGATGAAGATAAACGCTTGAATACAAATAGTTCTGACATTGACTGCATTACTCTATAATCGTTTTTGTTTGTACAACACTCTATGTGAATAAAACAAAGATGTTGTGACGAATTATGACGGCATAGATAGTAGGCTTTATTACCGTCTCGTTTTTTAAGTTTGCTTCATCGTTATATATAGATAAACGCGTAAAAGGTTTCAATATCTTAACTAATATAAGGTTGATCTAGCCAAATAATATCAGATTCGAATTTGACCCATCCTTGAAATTCTAATTCTGGTGAGGCTCAGCTTAATAGTGCCCATTTCTGGTGAGGCTCAAGCCTATCAAGCCTATACGTTCCGCCGCCTATGATCACAACATATAAATAAATATATTAGAAGTTCGGATCTTCGCACTGAAATAATATTCATTTGATAAGTATAAACCATCGTGCAAAAAAATATCGTATTCATAATTGGGGTAAGGCTGAGCCTCCAGACACCAAATTCGGGTGAGGCTCATGCCTCACCCAGCCTCCAGCTTCCGCCCCCTATGTTTCTAATGACACCTATTATAACTACCATTTATCTACCTCTAAGAGCAAAACAAACATTATGTTTTTAGATAAAGTTCTATGATATGATGTAAGAAAATTATAGTTTCAAAGCATGATGTTGTTCAATTGATAAGGTCATCAAACATATTTATCAATGGGTTGTTTTAAAAAATTTAGAAACAATACATAGTTATTAGTTCTGTTTCATTTTTGAGATAAAACAAGGGAAAATAGCTGGTACATGTTGTTGATAATTAACATAATCTTGACCAAATATTTGTATTAATTTGCGTTCTTCAAAAGGAATACCGATTGATGCATATATACATGTATATAGAATAAAAGCCAAACGATCAAGTGACATAGTAGGTGTGATTGTAAAAGCCAATAGAGTAATCAAATATAAAGGATGACGGCAATAATGAAATAGACCAGTTGTCACTATGGATCAGTACCAGTATTTTATTAACATCCAGTACGAAAGTTGCAACTTGTTATTCGCTTTTCAAAAGCGTACTAACTCTGATTCTGGATAGATCAAAATAAACAGAAAAAGCGTTGTGAAAATTGAAAAACCAAAGATTATTTTACTATGATATTAGGACTGTTATTACACAAGCATAAAATATGAAGAACGAATATTTATAAGTTACGTTTGATGCAACAACGCGTGTTTTCGGTTCAAATAAATGGTAAACTTTGATAGTTTGTAATTAAATGAAGAGATTCTCATCAGTATTCACTAATATAACATCAAACTTTCGTATAACATCGGAATTAAAATAGTTTTAACGTTGGACGAAATTTAAATAAAATTTTGAATTCGGATTATCTGACAATGCAGTCCACTATATTAAAAAACGCTCAATGTGAATGATTCGGTAGCATCTATACCTGTATTAAAATACCTTGGAATTATAATATCTCCATTGAGGCACTCCAACGGCAGCTCATTTTTTTTTTGAATAATTTGAGAGTGGAAGCATTATCCTGACAACAGTTTGGTCGATTTTATTCCTTCGCAAACAAAACACCTGAATGGTTATCTAAAGGGTTATAATCGGTTCGAAAAGGTAATCTATACTGATAGATTATTATAAGAATCAGTTGATTTTAGATGACACAAAACATGATAAAATACCGAGGAAAACTGATTACTCTTAAAAATTGTTTCTAACTGATTAACAAAAAGAATCGTAGAAACAGATTATAATAGTTAGTAGTCGATGTTATTTGTTTTCAATTCAAAAAGCCATTATAATCAAAGAACAATAATTGATTCCGAATCAAATTTGAGAAAAAAACCGATTAATACCGTCAATATAATTCTAAAAAGCTATAATTGCTTGGTTTTCACCAATTAGTTACATTTCAAATTGATGAAAATCATGAATATATTGATATTTCCACTTATGTTTTTTACATGAAAGGAGCTCAACATATCAAATAAAATGATGAAAATTGTAGTCAATAAATATTATGATTTTGGAATCGAAACAATGTTTTTTTCTTCTTCTCGTAGTCTCATTCACGTCAAGTGGAAGGATAAGATTGGAACGAGGGCACAACTGTCAAAAATTCAAAGTGGCTGTCACGTCTCGATTTTGGTTCACTTGTAATTCACGATTTTTCGACGTAAGCCACGTGAATCAACAGAGTGCATAGTTTGACAAGACGATACGTAACCTATCCTGAAATTTTTGTGAATATTGAAAAGTGAAATACAGTTAAGGTATGTACGTGGAAACAGAGTTCTTTAGCTAACTTTTCTTAACTTTAATAAATATACAATGATCAAATCGTTTTGTATCCTTAGTGAAGAACAGAAAAAAGAGATTTGAAAAAGTCAGGACATGTTGAAATTTATTTGAAATGAAAAACTATTTGAACCTGAACGATTCGGGTACCATATATGGCCATTGTATAACCTTCAGAACATATTATCAAAGTAGCTACAGTTGTCATGCAGAAGAACAGTGAATCCACCCTGTTTTATACTTAAATCTCGCAGAGATGATATTAGGAACCTTTTTAGTCGATGAAGATCAACAAAATAAGACGCTTCAAAACAGTTCATCATCGCCGGACGCGGACTGTAACCTAGATAATTATTTTTTTAATCAATGTTGGTTCAAAAAACGTTTTCCATAGATAGCTTGAGATCAATAGGTCATGTGTGGCTCATACTGTCT